ACGCTGAATATCCTGAAAAACACCCTGAACTAACACGTACCGTCACACGATACAACACCCTGAACGATGTAGTTGGACGACTGAGTGGGAATGCTTCAAAATTGGCTCATCTCACAGCCTCTAAATTCTGTTTGTTCAACGTATCAGCAATCTGATGATAACCGCTTCAGAAGAGGATTCGTTTCACCAATCCATGGTCGTTAATCAGAATTAGAACGCAAAAATGCATGCAACTGAAAAATTCAGCTTGGCACACAGCCCATGCTGGCCCCGAAACCTAGAGCGACTACGTGACCCAGCGCAGCCATTGCAATATGCTTGTCTGTGAGGACAAACTGACTCCCCAATCACGTTTGACTTTTAAATTTGCCAACAACAAAAAGCTCCTATATAAGCATGTTAACATCATTCGGAAAGTGAAACACGGCATTCCCCCACTCAACATGACAGTCGGAGTGGCACAAAGCACTGAAGAAGCAGCTAACCCTCTACGGACGCACTATACCCCAACCTTCCAACGAGATGTTCGTAACCACTACCTACATCCATAGCCCCAATTTTAACACTTAATAAAATCGTTTTTAATGCCACATATGTGTTAAAGAAACTGCTCTCACTACGAACATAGTTTTTCCGGAAGTGATGACATCCACCCGACGCCACTTGACTTAGCAGCAGTAACGCTGGCAGAGCCAATATCTCCTTTCTTCCAAAAGTGCTTGTAAAAACAAAGTCTGCCTATCATGTGGAAGTAAGGTCTGATCACGCCAATTTTCAAAAGTAGCAATTGCTCGGAACCCGCAAACTATCTTTCAGTGGTCCTTCTCACGTACTCTCAAAGGTGATGGAGTTAATCATCGCTGAGGCTTTACTCGACTATTTAGAACGCCAAAACAATAGCACTTGAGCAGCAAGGTTTCCGCAAAACAGTTCATGCACATTATCATCATCGATACACATCAACGGTCGGCTGCAGCTCCACCAATGAAGATTAGCCCTCTATTTTTCTGGTGTTTCAATAGGATTTGTATATTCATGCACAACCTACCAATTGATTGCGCCAGCAGCTGGACGGAAGCGGTCGATAAAGGTACAGACGTTATTCACCTCGAATTCTTCAGACCGTCCGACTGCCTAGATCACCGCATTCTGCTTCACAGGCCCGAAAGCTATAGAGTTGGGTATCCTGTCCTTGGACGGAACAGGAATTTCCCGCAGAATCGGCAACTAAATTTAGAGTTCGAAGTGCACTACCTGATCCGATTCACGTCGAATATGGCGTTCCACGAGGATCAATACTGGAGCCGCGTCTATTTCTCGTGTTCATTAACGAGCTTACGCTTTTGATTGCTCCGGATTTCTTGTTGTTCGCTGATGATATTATAATGTGGCGGGTGATGGCCTACTAAGGAAATCACGATGCACTTCAGCAAGATCTGGACATGGCGCTTAAATAGCCACTTCTAAACCTATTCCAGTATAATTCGTCTAAGGATAAAGTGGTCCAAATTCGCCACCTATCAAACATTATATACACTTGGGGTCCATATCCTACAAGCAGTTACTCAGGAGCACGAACTTGGGGTATTAATCCAGGCTGAATTGGGCTGCTCAGAGCAATCCGAGAAGGCATCAAAGACTGGAAACCAACACGTTTGCATGCTGCGGAGAAGATACGAGTGGTTTGCTCCGTTTGTTTGCAGCTGCTTAATACATGCGGCCTCATGTGGAATACGCAATCCAGAGGTGATAACCCTAGTAAAAGCACTCTAGATTCCTCAGTGAAGAACCACGAAGTACGTCTAAGGGTTGTTCCATCTTCTTTATCAATTTAGGCTAAGGAGTCTAAGATGTTACAGCTACCGGTATCGGCGCCTACGTTGTGACCTAATAATGGCCCACCAGATTTTGAGGAACCCCAATGGTGTTTGCGGCCACCTACTGCAACTCAGCCACAACAAGAATTTGGGCGGCCATCAGTTCAAGTTGGCTACGCAATACAATGGGCTAGAATGTCGGCGAAACTTTTGCGTTGTTCGTGTGTGCCAGCTATGGAATGCCCTCCTAAATAACGTCTTTTATGCCCTCACTTTACCTGTGTTTCAATTACGCCTTGACGTTACCCTATCCCATCTACCTCATCGATAGATAGCCTGTGCACATCGACAGAGGAGATAATGTAACAAACGTTTAACAGCCTGCACAAACGACGGTGGTCTCTTTCTGTATGCCTCTGTGTGAACACTGTGGTGAGTACACCAGAATGATTTTCATTTTATCCCTCTGTTTTCCATGCACCATGTTGTGTTTCTCACTGTGGCCATCCTACAGGACTTGTTAAGTATCCACATTTTTGCCGATAATATACCATTTTTCCATTGTATGCGTTATGTGCTTCACATCGATGGGCCAGGCTCTACCGGCACCTGCCGCTTTCATGACAGGCGGTTTCCTTCCTGATGCACCTCGAGCACGGTATTATTCTTGATGTCGACACGTCAGCGGTGGGCTGCAGCTCCATCAATGACCACTAAGCCACTGGTTTTCTGGTGTTTCAATAGGTGTTGTACATTCATAAAGCAATATTTTTCCTATTTAGATCCCGTTTCAAGCTGCATAAGAAGAAAAAAGTAGATCCCAAGTGTTGTGTTTTCTGTCTTCTTCCAGTGTTCTTTCTGATCTGCTAGCAGTTTGCAGTGTGGTTCTGCTACCCGCGTTAGCCATTTTATCAGCAATCCGACCAGCGGTAGAAAGTCTGGTGACTGCTGGTCTGGAACAACCAGTCGATGATTTACGTTGGATACAATCATGATGAAAGGTACGATTTAAGTTAAGACCTGGGTGGGTCTACAATACGCCATTTTTCGTAGAATTTTTACGTAACTGTTACGGCTAACATCCTAAATACCCAGAAATGGAAGAGTGTATGATCATTCAGATGCTCCATAGACATTATGTACTTTACAACACAGTGATCCACTAAGTCAAATGAATCGTAGAAATCGAGGAGCAAGGTATGCATCGTGTTATCCCGTCACCCATGAAATGGTAACAATTTGCTGCTAAAACGCACTTACTATGTTATCCGCATTTTCCACCGCTTCGTTAACATAATGGGATTATTAGTCATGTTCTGGCTGCCCCAAGACTGGTGCAATGTGTTATGGGAAGCTGCTTTGTGAGCAACCGTAAAGTAGTCGATCTGCTTGGATGAGAAGAATGGTGAGCTCATTCATATGTGGACAGTCGGCTGGTGGCCGAGAGGATTACGCGTTTGCCTTGTTAATCTGGCCCCCTGGTTCGAAACCGCGTAGGTGCGAGCGAACTCGTGATATACCCACTCTACGCGCGACTGTTGGTGGCCGCATGGCACCGAAGCGTCGGTACGGAGTGCCGCTGGACTGCTCATGTCTCCTCTCAGCATAGGTGAGCACGGCATCAAGTGTTAACACAGATACTTCACATAATATTGCGATCAGAGCTCGTCGGGAAAATGTGAGCAGATGTATTTGTTCACATACTGAGAGAAAAGAGTAAATGATAGCAATCTGCAAGACTTGCAATGCAGTATGGGTGTTATCTGACATGACGCAGATCGTCACAATATCGGTACAACTGAAACGGCAACCAAGCCCAACGGCCAGATTCTTAGAATAGGAATAGATCGAAAATTACTTATGAGTAGATGGATGAACCGCCAAAACCCATTGCATTTACCAATTCGTTTGTAACCTCGGTAGTAGTTACATTGGCAGAACAGATCGATCCTTGGGTAAGCGCATTGGAGAGCATATCCCAAAAGGGATTGCTAAACTATCGAGACAACAAGCAGCCGAACGAGAAAAGGTATCTAAGCTGCCGGCATCATTGGTCGCCAGACATCTACTCGAATCAGGCTGACCCTAGGTCAACATTTACAGTTATCTATCGAAATGACAACCACAAAGTATTGAGGTTTGCCGAAGCTGTGGCACTTAACCGGCATCGCCCCATCCTTTGTGTACAAAAACAATTAACAGTCTCTCTGAAGCTTCCTTGGGGCTCATGACCCTAAGATCAAGCTCGTTGATTTGTTATTCTTGCGTCTAGGTAATTTTTCTTTGTGACCAAGTTCAAATCTTCGATTTTGCTGTCAGATGATTCATATTTGTGTTGTTAGTTTGCGAGTGAGCAGATAACACGAAATGGTTCCATCTCGCAATACCAGTCTTCTCATTGTCATATTTAAACTGAAAATTGTCGATAAAATGAGACAGTACAACTATACAAGGTGGCTGTGCACCGCTTCATTGAATACCCCAGAGTTAGAGTTGAAAGGTCCAAACTTGAGATGCCAAAACCGCAGATCAATCTGGTTATACGTGGACTGCGATTTGTGATCGCAGATGCGATATTGTAATGATCATTGCACATCAGCGAGATAGAACGAACTACTCAGGCCGAGATTCGTAGCAAGACCCACCCCCGGACTGCCAATATAGCTAGATGACAGGCACATCAAGCCGTATCGAGAAGGTTTCTGGCTGAAAGCATTACTTCTTAATAAGGTTGGGACACGACGAGCAGAAACAACACAGCAATTTTTCCAGTGTTGAAGTGCCGGATATCCATTCACATCGTTTCATTTCATATTTGTTGGTGGGATTGCTGGTGTGTAGGTAGAGAAGTGAAAGCAGAGCCCTTAAATGACGTTTAGCAGAATGGCAGATTAGGAGCTGCAGACATAATTGCTACATGTGTGAACAGCGAGATATAATCATGACAGCAGTGCTTAAGTGCGGATAGTCGGAGTTTTGATCCCTACGATGACTGCTGTGTCAGATGCACTTACACTGGATTGTAGGGTGAATGAAGAAGAAAAATGGCCCATCCACCTCGGTGCTGAATGTCTTTATTTGTCACAAGTTTAACCTAGAAGACACGGTCAAATCGATTCGGACGGAATAAGGCAGCAAGCAACTGCGTCGGGAGTCTTTTCGTAGATAATGAAAGGAGGATCGTTCATTTGTACGATATATGATATGCACCGGATTGTGCGAGGATGTAAGATACAAACGCATAAAATATAGGTTAGAAATACAGTGTACAGTCAGAAAATATTAAAGCAGGAATTCACGTGAGTTTCTGGGCGTCGAGGTCATGCCGCCGGGTTTCTGCGAAGTGGAAAAAATTACACAGAATGAGGATAAAATAACAAGGACAAAAGGCAAAACATACTGAGCGGGGAATGTCCAATATCCATTTGATTCCAGGAAGCGCTTTTGTTGAGCTTATAACTGCAAAATGAGGTTGATATGGGCAGTAACCCATTTTTGGAGCAAAACAGACTGGGGAACACTGGACGCATGCAACCGAGCTAGGCGGAAGCCAGAGACGACAGGAAGCGGTGATATATATATATATATATATATATATATATATATATATATATATAACCTCCAGAGAAGAGCACAGGACGCCTGCGCCTACGGAAGCCCTAAGTGGTTTCAGAAGGTTTTGTATACAAATCGGTTTTTGGTAGGGTTTTATTGTGGCAACGTTTCGCCCTTGACACAAGAGCTTCTTCAGGACCTGGCCTGAAGAAGCTCTTGTGTCAAGGGCGAAACGTTGCCACAATAAAACCCTACCAAAAACCGATTTGTATACAAAACCTTCTGAAATCATGAAATCACAGTCGGTTTCAAACATATTCCAATATATTGAAGCCCTAAGTGGCTTATGCTGTACCACCCACGGCTCCATCCCCAACCCAAACCATATTCTGTGTAAACTCGAAGGAATAAGACCGGGTGGCATGTGGATGGGAGCAACGTTTTATCAGCGGGGTCGAGCTACATTCCATCAACATGCAAAGCGGCAGTATTCCTATGTAATTGGGAAATAATGCGTAGCAGACGTACAGATAATTTTTTTATGCTCGTTAGCTTGAGGTGGAAAAGATCTCAGCTATTGTGCCGCAATAAACAAAGAAAAAACAAACATGCAACAGATGCATGTCAGCTGAGCAACCAGTAACGGATGGGCATCGTTTCGGAAAGATACCCACCGCCTACTATGCAGCAGAAAATGGTAATACGCAAAATTATATCATGCTAAGAAAATGAGATCGTGGTTGGAGTGGGATGCTAAGAGGGATGGGGTGGGACAAAGAAACTCACAGCACGAAAGCCAATGAGGTCGGCTCCTAGTCATGTCAGCAACTGTATCCAGCCAAACGTGTTCATCGCCTTTCGGACCCTAACCAGGCAGCCGAGACGCTCGAGAGGAAGCCAGCATCGAAGTGTGGATCTTCATTCCTCTCGAGCAAGTCATCGCTTGGCCACCTCTCCTCTTCCACCCACCCCGACGTGCGAACAAGGCGCGTCGCGAGAGCCGGTGGGCTGGCATGCGTAACACGTGGTCGAGCCATCGAAACTTGATGCATGAAATAACGGTGCTGAGCGGTTCATTTCATTTTCCTGTCTCATAAACAAGGCGTGAAACACGCTTGTTGCTCACGCGGTGTCCACATCAGATATGAGCCAAAATGCGAAGGCACCGGTGGTCAGATGTAACTAGCCTCTTTATGTCGGCTGATTTAAGAGGTCAGGTGTCACAACCATGCAGTAGGGTCGAATGCACGCTGCATAGTACACTCTACCCCTCAAGACGAGTGATGTCGCCTCGACGCCATAGGTGGCGAGGGTCAGCAAAAGCGCTTCGAGCTTTTCCTATACGGTTCGCGATCTCATCTTCGATCCCAAGGGAGCTGATACAATTTTCCAGATAGTTGAATTTTTGAAGGACTTCTAGCTAGTCCCCACCAAAGCGCAGGTGGCGGTCCCTGTCAATTTTGGAAGAAAGCTGTGCACTTCGGTGGTGCAATCATCATTACCATCATTATATACGATAGCTGCAGGTGGAAAACACCTCAGCTATTGTGCCGCAATACCAAAGAAAAAAGCATGAAACAGAGCCAAGCCGGCTGGGTCAACAGTAAGGGATAGACATCGTATCAGAGAGCTAACAGCCGGCTATTACGCCACAAAAAAGGAGTTATATTGCACCTATTAAATGAGATCGTGGTTGGAGGGTGAGGATAAGCGCGAGGGGGCAAAGAAATTCGAGGGTAAAAGCAAAGCCCGAAGCGGCTGACAGCCAGTGTTAATCTGCCAAGTGCAGCTTGGCACGTTTGTGAGTTCACATATGAGGGCAATATCGTCAGCATACTCGAAGTCAAGACGTCGTTCTCCTGGAGGCAGCTCCACACATTCTAAGCCGTGTCCTGTGAACGCGATCTCCATGACTTTGTCAACAGAGAAGTTGAAGAGGAAAGATGACAGCGGGAACCCCTGTCTTACACCTCTGGAGATATTGAAGAGTGGCGACAGTTTGCAGTAAGGCCTCACTCTGCTCGAGCTACATACGTATAATGGTCGGATAATATGTACATATTTCTCAACCAAACCTTTCTTGAGTAGACAGTCCCAAAGGACACATCGATCAACCGAATCGAAGGCACCTTTGATGCCAAAGACTTACAGAAGGCAGTGCCTGAGTCGTAGCCCGCTCCACACAGCATGTACCCATTTTTTGAGTCTAGCACTGTCACGAAAACAGAACATCTCGTCGCCCCAAGAACCACCAACTATCTCCTGTACCAGAGTAATCGGATTAGCGGCTTATGAAAGGTTAGGCACCTTCAACATCATGGAAAACATTGGGAACCGATAGAGAACTCATGATTTCAGAAAAAAATTGAAAACAACCGGTTGGTATAGTTTGTGGGCAACGTTTCGCTTTTGACACAAAAGCTTCCTCAGGCCGAGTGAACCAGTCGAGGATTGATATAACCCTTATAGCGAACTGGGAGGTAGGTACCTCGTCAAAATTCACATCAAGCGCAGTCACACCGGGGATATAAACAGCAGGCAGAGAACAAGAAGGGAAATAAACACACAAACAGGACATTAAATGTACGGTAGAACGACGGAATAGAGCACAACAAAATGCTGCCAAAAACTCCGATATTTGAAGTATAAGTTTTATCAGTCATGAAATTCGGTTCATTGAAAAATTGGATTTTAAGTTGCCATCACTAGAACTGCAGCGAAGTTTAATCAGAAAGCTTCGTCATAAAGATTTCAAACAGGTTATAACAAAATGGAGAGTCACTTTGCACTGTGATTACATCTAACTCAGACATACCGCCCTGTTAGATAAGTAAATAGTGTGAGAAAGTAAGTCCATAGCAAATTCGAGTAACTCAGACAAATGCATGATCATGACCATGCTTTTCTGAAAAAAGTCACTTGAAGTGTTTCAAGAGACACCGGTTGATACACAACATCAGACGTTCACAAAAAATAAGCGGTCCTACATATTGGAAGAACGCCTACGAAGCAAATCAACACTTCCCTACCAAGCCCGGAGAATAATAAGTATTGTGCGGAACAAAGAAAATGGGATCTACCGGCATGACACAGAGGTGTTCTGTCAGCAACCTGTCACTCCTGGGTGCGGTGCAAAGGCGGACGAAGCAGCGACATCCCCATGCATACACTCATTTCCCATATGCCCCAGCATCAGAGTAACCCACCAGTGAGGCATGAATCGCCATTTATATAGGCTTGTTAAAAAAGTTAAAATTAAAGTAAGTGTCCACACTTCTAACGTTAACTTCTACATTGGACTGTTTAATTCCATGGAGTAAAATGCTGGGTCGAAAATAGGCACGGACAAACACACCTGTGAAACAACACTGTGACAAATAAATAAAGAGATCTGTGTCAATGATGGACACGGGTCCTCGTGCGTTAAGAACATATTGTCAATAGGATCAATTCCTGTAAAGAATACACGTACCCTAGCCGATCTGGAAGCTCCAGCACCAGGGATGAGAAACCGATGTGATGGAGTACCGGTTGGAACAGCCTGTTTTGTGAAGAATACAAAAGTGATGGCTAGGTAGTGGCGACGGATGAAACTAAAGGCACATGGTGGAAACAAAGGAAACTCACCCCAGATGCATCTAGTCGAGGCTTCTTGGGATTCGATAAAGCGTTGCTAAGCTTACTATCATTGTGAATTGCTTTGTTCCCGGGCCGTTTGGTGAGCGGAGTACGAGGGGTATTCCCGTTACGTCTGAAAAGTGCATCGATTTCAAAAAGGAGACGTATATTATGTCCAAATAGGTGATTTTATGGAAGACAGCCAAACAACGTAAAAACCGAACTGCAGTTCCCTTAAGAGATTCGGCTTGATACAGGTTCCCTAATAAGTAAATTGATATAATGTGCTGAATTAGAAGAAATTGTGTCAACATGCATGGAAGTTACATGAGTACCCAAAAGAAAAGTATAGCTTATGAACTCGGTTCCAATTAAGTTTATCGACTATGGCCTGTCATTTTGTGCGTGGCGTAACCAGTGGGTCCATTTAAAAGAAATGTTGTGGGAATTGTTTCCGATAGACAGACAACATGAACCGTGGGTTACCCTGAACTTAACCTGCCAGATCCATCATTTTCTGTGCGACTCCGGTCGAAACGGTCACGCTCTTCGCCAAAGCATACCAACGACCATACGTAAAAACGTGTTAAATCTCAGCTACTGAAACAGTACAAGTAGCATAAAAAGCTACGTATATTTTGGGTGAATTCGGAAATGTTGGGTCGGCTGCAAAAATTAGCCGTTTAGAACCGATACGACCGTAGCACAGGTAAGTTCATGCGCTGCGTGACCGGCTTGCGTGTTGTTGAAACGACTTGATGTTTTGTTGCATATTAATAGCTCAAACCGGTTTCTCACTGAAATAATGGATTTAGCTGAGATGTTACCTACCGTAAGAAGGTCGGTCAGTAGTCGCTGGAACGGCACCTAAAGTAGACAGAGGGTAGATGTGAGCAAATATGAAATCAGTAACGAAGTGCGGTCGTGGAAGTTGGTAGCACTTAGTGTCTATATGCTTCGGAAACGGTCCCCTAACCGCAGTGGCCGAGGATCATTACAAGGTTGATCACGGTTACGATTGGGACAGTATGTCGCGCTCCACCCTCAAACAACAAGAACGTAAAACATACTAAGAATAAACTCCAGTCGTTTCTAGAGAAGTGTTTCATCTACAGACAAAAGTTGATCTAGTTATTTTGGCTCATAGTAGTCTTTTATTCACAATTGTTGTCGTCGGATCACTTGTGGTTGGTTCAACGATGTATAATGCCGAGGAGGAAAGGAAGACGAAACCAATCCTGCCTTCGGCAATTGGAGGTCAATTCGCATGCATTAGATGGTGCACGGTCATCCTCAACCCACAACGTAAAACACACCACTGCTGTATGTCAGATGTATCAACCATGTGGGCTACGGTAGCGTTTTTCAGTTGCCTGCACTATATACTCAGGCATCGCAGGAGCAGGCATAAATGCCACTGTCACCAGTTTCCAGAGAGTAGCCGTTGTTGTGCTGTCACAGAGAACCGCTTCTCATTTGCACATTCGTGTGCGCACTCCTGAGAATGATGGTCCGAAAGTTTGCAGCGACAACGTGTTTATTACTGATCCCGGGTTATTTGTGCGCTACGAGGACCTCAGCCCTCGTCCCATTTTACAAGAGTTAGTGGGATAAATTGCTCTCGAAGGCAAACCAGATTGCATGCACGCCTCGGAATCAGCATTCTGTTGAAATCATTACATTTTCACATAGACCCGCTGTTGCAGTGTGACTCATAATCGTTCATTCACCGATATGCTCAGATCACATGGATTTCAGCTAAACAGCAGGTGAAACTTCCCAAAAACTTCGGATGATTTAGAACTCGAGAACGTACATGGATCACGTATCTCTGCTGTCAGTGTCGCTTTACAGTCTGTGGTGAATGGTTCCAATCACGACTCACTAGTGATGGTGGGATCTGTGGCCTCTCATCTTCGGTATTCCTATCCGTCCAACAAATGCTACCCATGCGGACGATCGACAGCGTTGCGTACGCTTTATCGAAGGCTGCCCGTAAAATGAGCGCCATTCTGATGAAGGAGTGACCTGCTCATAGGTGGCGGACTAAGATCGCCTGTGAATAAATATATGTGTGGTGGCGAGATCCGGACAAAGCGTCGAACCGTTGCTCCCAATGTTGCGCTGTGGGCTCATGTCCTAGACGCTTCCTCGTGGCCACTGCTGAATGAGAGCTGGATTACACCCGTCGTATAGCTAAGAGCTAGGACACATAATTCCGCGTGAGTCGGTTCACTGAGTCATGGTGCACGGCCCGCTGCTTTCGGGTGTACGAAGGTTTTGGTTGAGGACCCGAGTAGTTCTCCTGTCAGTTGTGGACGCCCTGGCAGTATCCTAGTCCAATACCCAACTACAAATCAACGCTATGATAATAATTTCATGCTGCATAGGCCGTCGCACAGTGGCCTTAGGAAGAGTCGCCTTATCTGCTGCATACACCGGGATGGATAAGTGAAAACAAACTAACACTGACGCCTCCCATCTTTCTTCTTCCCCTACACATATTCTCCCAGCCCCATTTCACCTAACTCACTACGCAAGCGATTGTCAACCACCGCAATCGTATGCCTCCGAGCAACGCACGCAACATCGGGTGCTGGGACGTGTGCACATTACTCGAACGGCACACGAGTGAGTGACCCGAACGACGCACTGCGCTGGTCGCGATGGAACTCGCGAGCTACGGGATTAAAATTGCTGCATTCAGCGAGGTTCGGATAGCGGACCGAGACAAGCTGCATGAGACCATTGTTGGGTATACGTTCTACTGGGTGGGAAACGCCGCCACAGCACCATGTGAACACAGAGTCGGATTTGTACAATCAAAACGTCAAGATGGCCAGCTGGTGGCAGAGTCGATTGGCATCAGCCCACGATTGATGACATTTCGCTTGCGACTTGGAAGAGGTAAGTTCCCTACTATTATTAGCACGTACGACCCCTCCATGTGTTATCCTCATGACGTGAGGGATCAGTTTTACGCTCCGTTATCCTTCGTGCTACGATCTGTGGGGAGGAGCGACCGGTTATTCGTACTGGGTGATTTCAATGCGTGCGATGGGTGTGATGCCGCGGCGTGGACAGACGTAATCGGTCCGTATGGGATTCGCACAGCCAATGGGAAGAAAGACCGGCCGCCGTCACTGTGTGCCACTTACGTCCTGATGATCACGAACACTTAGTTTGTACCGAGTGGGGATGATAAAACTACTTGGACACGTTCACCTGCTCGACTAGGTCATCGTAATCCAGCGTGACATGCGTGAATTGAGCATGACACGTGTACTGCGTGGAGCTGAATGTGGAAATGATCACAAGCTAATGCGGACCAAATTGTAGACATGTACTTTTGTAAATCTGGGTATTACGCACATGCCGTGAAATGGCGTGAATTTAGTGTTCATTCTCTAAATACTATGGAGAAGAAGATGGAGCTGAAGGCGGTAGAATCCATCGCCTCAATGAGCGACCTGTGGCATAATAGCCATGATCAGGTGACAGCTGGTGCCGAAGAAGTGATCAGACGCGCAAACTGTAAGCGGCCCGCCTAGTTTGATGGCAACAGCGCGAACGTTGGCGCATCGGTGTCGGAGAAGAATGAAGCCTTCGCTGCGCATGCGGACAACCCTATTGATGCAGGGAAGAGTAATTTTCACAAGCTTCGACCACGATCAACCCAAGAGCTCCGTCGCATCAAGAATACATGGTGGACAGAGATGACGCGGATGGAATGCTATCGAGAACGCCTCCAACACAAGGAATTCTTTGACTCGTTGAAAGCGGTGCATGGATCCATGTTGCTGCCGCTTAGCACGCTGCTCGGTGTTACCTCGGGCGCTGCCTGCGCACAGGCTCCAGTAATAATGGAGGTCTCGCGAACGCACTTTGACTGCCTCTTGAACAACCGTTCAGAGATTGACTGGGCATTGTTGGACGAGTTGTAACAGTCAGAGATGAAGATGCGTCTTGCTGACATAGCGACAGTGCTTGGGATCCAGAGAGCACTTGCGCAGCTGTGAACTGGGAAATTTGTGGAGCCGACAGGATCCCACCTGAAGTGTAGAAACACGGCGAACCCGCTTTGATGCATACGCAGCAACGGGTGCAACAGGTCTAAGTTGAAGAACGTGTGCCATCCGATCAGTAAGATGCCCTTGTGCTACCACTGTACAAGGGCAAAGGGAGCAAGCAATGTTGCACGAATTATCATAGCATCAACTTGGTGAATTGTGTAGGAAAATCGATCGCATGATTCCTGCTCAATCGCCTCATCACTCAGGTTGTTGAAAAGCACGTGGCGGAAGAGCAATGCGGATTCCGTTCGGGACGCAGAACCATAGATAAGGTGTTCGCGCCTCGTCAGTGGCAGGAGAAATGCAAAGAGCGAAACCAGCCACTGTACTCGCTGTTTGTAGACTACACCAAGGCATTTGAAACGGTGAACTGCGAGGCTATGTGGCTGTTGCTAGGTAAATTTGGTTGTCAGAGTAAGCTTGTGAGTTTAGTTGAATGTCTGCACAGTGGTATGCAGGCGAGGGTGCAACTGAGTGGGCAAACGTCGGACGGCTTTACGGTTATCTCTGGTGTGAAGCAAGGCTGTCTTAGCCGCTGCCCTGTTTGCTATCTATCTTTATGCCATGATGTGATTTTGATGCTGTTTGTGATTACGGTGTTCATGTGGAGCACCGTGTTGATGGTGCCTTGCTGTACATCGGTCGTGTCGGGGCCCGAAGTATGGCGTGTGAGACAACCATCCGTACGTTGCTGCTTGCTAACGACTGTGCGTTGTTTGCGGATGAGCTGCAGCACATGACTTCGGCTGTCGTTTCGAGATTGGACAAATTCGGACTCACCAGCAACACAAGCAAGACTGCTATTTCCAGAAGTGGAATCGGTGGGTCTGTCGCGAATCCACATTGGCAACGACGTTTTGGTATCCACTTCCGGGATTTTTTTACCCTGAGAGCGTAATGCCTACCGATCTGCAGATGGCGTGCGAAATGCGCATGTGTCTATGGAAACCGACTGCCGCATTTGATAATCTGGAGAAACGTATCTGAAACAACCACGAGTTCAGTGTTGGGACGAAGCTGATGGTTTACAAGTCTATGGTGCTATCCGTTCCTCTATACGGCGGCGAAATCTGGACGCTTCCAACAAGTGTCTGCGGTGTATTCTGTGCAATCGCTGGGGTGACCGAGTTTCAGACACGCGGGTGCTCCGAAGCAGTGGCGTGTATGCAGTGTACCACATACTTCTGCTTCAGCAAATGAGATAGTTCGGGCAGGTTCGCCGCATTGATTCGACCCGGATACCGAAGTAGTTGCTTTGTGAACAAATAAGTACAGAGAAACGGCACATTGGAAAACCGAAGTACATGATCAAGGTGGAGCTATTATGAACTAATGTCAGTTTCAAGTGTTAGAAAGTCATAACAGTGGGTCGACGTCGATGGCGAGGGCATCTTAAGTGAGCGGTTGCTTATGTGTAACAAAAAGCATTACTACATGCGGAAAAGAAACGTCGGTTGAGGAAGTGACAGGCACCGATAGTGGATAGTCTCTCGACGTCGCGCGCATTATGATGTGGCATGTGCAGTCGCGAGTGCCTAAGCCAAGCTGGATTAATAAGTCACCAGCGTCGCCACGTTGGGCAAACAATTAAGAGAAAAAGAGCAAACTACATATGTAGTCATCATCAGCGCAGCGCTTGGTAAGTTCGATGCTTCCGACTAAATTTACTAACCCAGTCCAATAAGGAGGCTGTGGTATGTTTGCTACATTATCGATACATTCAGTCTGTACGTGTGCCTGCGTGTTGAGTTCCTTACATCACAGGGTTGGTTGTTGATTGATATCCCCGATGTGGCTGCGTTTAATGTGAATGTTGACAGGCTGCCTAACTGTCTATAACCCTCCACCTCGTCATATACTAGCTCCAGATGACTGTGAATCGTTGTTGGAGGGGACGGAGTGCACAGCTCTCGTGACGGTGCTAGTCTCAAATAGTGATTCCATGTATCCAGTGTGGGACGGGTTAGAGCCCAGCCACAAGCATGTATACTTCTGGTAGGCATGATTCCCAATTTGGAAAGTTGCTGCTGTGCATACTGTAGGACTGTGTGCGTTCTCCGCTTATGAAACGCGGCTCCCATCCAAATGCCACTCAGTCTTATTCCTTCGGGTTTGCACTGGATGTGGGGGTGTTGTGGATGAAACCGTGGGTGGTGCAGTGCAAGCTACTCAAGGACCCTTCGGAGGTGCAGGCGTCCAGTGATGTCCTATGTAGGCCACAGTGACAGGTGAATCCGGAACCGGATTCCGCCAAGCACATATATATATATATATATATATATATATATATATATATATATATATATATATGGCGGGAGAGCCTATGGTGCGCTGAGGATGGTGGTGGCTAGATAATGACAGATGGTCTACCCACTGCTGCTACTGTTGTGCCATTTGCTCATGTCCTGGGCGCCTCCTCGTAGCGACCGCTGGGTGGGAGTTAGATCTCGCGCTTCTCCCTGCTAAGATCCAGGACATCAATCCGCATGAGTCAGTGAATTGACCATATGCTAGACCCGCTGCCTTCCGGGTGTTCATTTAATCGAAGGCTTTGGCTGAGGACCCGAGTCGTTCTCCTGTCAGGAGTGGACGCCCTGCCAATATCCTAGTCTATCCTCTTCGGAGGTTAGGAAGTGGTCGATGGTCCTCTTTCCGTAAAACCTAGCCATGGGAGACAACAGGTCTACGGGTTATAAGCTCACAGCTCGATTGGCGTAGAGCACGAGTGCCACGCATTGTCTCTGACGGTGGGAGGGCACCTCCGGGTGTTCATTGGTTTGCTACTGCCCGCTTCAAGCCAGGCAGCCCCTGGTCAAATTGGTGCAAACCCGCCGAAACCCATCTGCGTCTGGCCGTGGTCGCAGGCGTATCCTATTACGGTCGCAAAACATCATATGTAAACCGTTCCAGTACCTCCAAGGCTGCGTGTGACGGCCATGAAGCAGATCCCAATCTGTCTCTGCAATCACATTCCCGAGCTGGATTTGCTCCCCACTGCCTTGGGGGTCAGGCTATTGAGCCAAGGGCTCCGAGCGGAGTCCCTCAAGCAAACCTCCAAACCACCCACTGCCTTGTGGGTCCTGCTATTGAGACAAAGGCTCCGGGTGGGTGGACCACTTGTACCAATTGCAAGCTGTCTCGTAAAACTCCGAACCCAATACAACATAAGTAGCAAGGACTCCAGGTGAGAGAGACTAACGGGATCCAGTTTAGTGATAAGTGAATTCATTTCTGGATGATAACTCAATCCTTGCTCTTTTCGAACCCTGCGCCATCTTACACTGTGCAAATAAAACAAGGCCCTGATGGGCAAGTAGTGATCGAGTGTACGTAGCACGCGCCCTGGCCAATACAATGTATTCAAGGTTGTCCGTTGTTTTGAGGAAGCAACATGAGCATTATCCCCTAGTACTCATATGTGAACCTCACCGATGTGGATACGGTTGCTGACAGCAATGCCTCGCTGATAATGATGCTCATGGATTGGAAAGTGACTCTGGTCTTCAAACCGAAGAGGTTGTACTCTGCATACACGCTCCCTCACAGAAAGGTGAATACGATCCTGGAATATCAAACGTAAATTCGAGAATGCAACTGTATTTTTAGTAACAAATTTGCATAATTCAGCGGTTAGATTTGATGCACCTGTTAATATAGGTCAAGTGATTAACTATCAAATGGTGCCTGGTGGCCCTGCATCAAAATTTCAAATTCTGTAGGTGTGAATCGTATGGGACTCTATTTGAGAGTTAATTCAGAATTGGTTGTGTGCTCATAAGGTTGTCAGGTAGCAAAGTGTTCTCGTCTGCACAGTCTAAACCAACCACTTTTCTCAAAGACAGCACGATCATACGTGTAATCAGATCAGAAACAAAGTTATGGAAATCAACCAATCCGGAATGGCGTCCTAAAAAGCACCCGGACAGCAACATATGGACCGATTGAACATACATGCCACCGCCGACAACCGATAGCAAGGGCCTTTGGACCATCAATCTCGGAAAGTATGCAAAAAGCTCCAACAGTTGAGAAAGCGTAACTCACTTCGACTGCGGTCCCTTGGGTTGGTTTCGCTTATTCTCTTTACAATGTTCGTGCTGTAGACGAACAGAATCTAAATAGGCTGTTACGGACATCCCATGGATACTGATATTCTTGTGCAGAGGATCATCGGTCAGCTGTTGAATAAGCGTGTCACAGCGCTTCAAATCACGTTGGGATTGTTTGTATTGCTTTTCCACGGTTAAAAGAATCCCACCACGATTTTTGAGCACCGCAGGATCTTTCTTTTTGAGCTACCAAGAGAACAAGGCAATTAAGATGAGAAAGCCAGCATATCTTAAAGCAAACATCGTGGCTGGAAGAATACAGCAAGGAGATGGGTCCCAGAGGAGTGACCATCAAATGCAATGCGGAGGTACCTTGAATTAGCCATTAGACAAACATTGGATTGGGTCTCCAGTCAGAGCAACAAGCCACAGACTAGTAAGCAATGATGATAGCGGGTTGGATAATATGTTCCAAATACGGTCACGACTAAGGGAGCTGAAAGAAAAAGATGATCACCGCCAGTTCAAAATGACTGCCAGGAGGCGAGAAGACGACAAAGAACAAATGTAGTCAGAGAGAAACGGCTTAGGTAGGCAGCAGGCGAAGAAGTCGAGCACCCACTGTCAACAAGATGGGAGCATCAAGACAAGAGGTCGGTCAGATGAATTGTAGTGTTCACTTAAATGTAACGGCAAAAGCTAACTGTAACACAACAGTATCTCGTCATAATGAGTCGTGAGAACTGTTTGCACTATGTATGACAGGAAGGTACGGACGTAAACATGATAACAAAGTAGATTCCGCGCATGATAGAGAACAAGCATGACTGACAACGACTAACAGAAGTGAAAACTAACCTCAGCTTCCCGAAAGTTTAACAACGCGGTCTGCCAGGAGTCCAGAGTTTCAAACAGATCTCGATGTATATCATAGTAATCTCGTAAGCGTGCAATCTGGAGACAAATGGTCAAAAGGAGTAGATTATTTGATATTCTCGCAAACCTCGGCCTCCAGGCGTTCGAGCACAGCCTCGGTGTACACACCGTTGTCCAAGACCAGAAGCGCATCACGATCGTCGGCGCCCAGAAGGCAAATGTCCCAAAGCTCTTGCAATTCAGCACGGCAGTTTTGTATAAACACCGACAGATTTTGACGGCGCAACTCCGTTAAACGCTCAAACTCAGCGCGAAGCTGTAAAATTGAAGCGGACAAGATCGCATGCATGAAAAACGCAAAGTGTAGGATGAAAAGAGGTGTTAATGAAGAAACGCATATGACACTGAGTCGGTCAGAAAGAAAATGCGGAGGCACACCTTTGTGGTCATCGTTGACCCTGGAATCGGTGCTGAAGTGGTAGGGGACGCCACTCAACATGACACGACCAAGAAAGTAGCCATTTTCTATGATCGTAAAGTTCGCATTACGAAAACATCAGATCGGCTATTCAGTGCGGCGTTAGGCTTCTCTTCTGCAAGTTCACAATCATCTTTGTTTACGGTCCTCGTCATGACGTGATTGGTATTTATCAGAAATGTTAAGCTTATCCATCCGAAGTGGTGTTCAGAGAGCAGCCACATGTGAGTTCAGAGACCAGACAGAAAAGTAAGCAGAAATCAGAAACAGAACGTAGCCAACAAGCCTATGGAAGGTTTCGGTGTGGCTCTCTCGCATCCCTGCACTCCACGACCGACGGTTTGATCCTGGTTTGGATTCATCAGGTTCAGAGTCAAACTGGGAGTGGAACTGGGCGCATAATGTTTGCCGGCTATCGCCATGGTCACTAGGTCATTGAGCTCCGAGAGCAGTGCTTGAGATAACAAGTCTGTTTTTAAGGTTTTAGCAGCCGGCTAATACAACCAAGACAAAGCAGGACAGAATGGACAGAGATGAACCAATTCACCAACAGCTTGGTATATTACGGTCGATATGTAGACGAAATATTTTGTATCGCGTCTATTGGCCAACTTCAACTCTGCAAACAGTAAAAAAATAATGTGTCGGCTGTACGCCGTGACGACACTTCGCTACCATGCGGCCACCAATAGTCGCGTTTGACCTGAGTATACCGCGAAAACGCCTGCCACTACGCGGATTCGGACTGGTGACCTTATGATAGCAAGCCAGGTGTGCAGACCACCAGTAGACCATGGCAAACAGTAAAAGACATCAGCAGTCCGCCGGTACACAATACCGACGCTTCGCTACCGCGCAACCATCACCGGTCACACGTGGGCCAAGAATACTGCGAGGGTCGCCCGGTCCCTACGCTGGCTCGAACCCGCGCCCTCGGATCAAATGGCAGACCTGTGATCCTTAAGGCTACAGGCAGGCAACTAGTAACACTATTGAGGTAGAACGCAACGACTTGTTGGCATTTTTAGATGTCCTAATCAATAGGGCATCAGACGAGTCAATGAAGAGAATGGTGCACAGAAAGGAACTTTAAAATGGGCAAAATATCCACTTCGCTCATTTTGTTCCGGTAAGCCGGAAACAGAACAACGTCCGTTGACTAACGGATAGTGAGAGGAGGATATGAACAGAAGATACCATTTTAGATGACCCGCGCTTTATATATAAAGTGTATTCGAGCGTAACGGATACTCTGCAAAATTCATCCTGTGGCACATGGAACCGCAGATGACGAAGCTGAAACCAGTTTCCGCGGAGAAGCGAATGATTTACTTATCATTTAACGGTGATGTGATAGTGTAACGAAAAATTCGAAGGCTTTCCATAGCAACAGTGAGCAAGTACTTTGCTGCCGATCTGTGCGTAAGCTTCATCTCAACACGATTGTGCACCAACAACTCAAAGAGAGGATATATTGGTCGTATATTTCCTTCTGTGTGTACAATTTCTCCTGCATGTGTCGAGCAAGGTATTTTGGGAAAACGACTAGGCGAATGCTCGTTAGAACTCGAGAGCCCTGTTCAGCTTGGCTCTACAGCGACGTGAGGAATAAAGTAACGAATGCAGTGTTATCGTATCTAGTAGACTTCGTTCAGCAAATCAATGCGTACGACGCATTCATAGCAATCTATTGTGTGCCAGGACGTCACACGCAGGCAGTAAAGTGCCGGCTGTTGTCGACAGCAGAGGCTCCATAATCTGGACCTGTGTGCACAAAAAAACTAGTCCCAACTCCCAGACTACCTTGGCTACAGGCCAGCATGACTAACAATGTCATTCATGCCACTTCAGCCGTCTTCACATCAACCAGACCAATCACGTAGTCTTATCGATTAGATACCTTGCTATAGTGACTCACTGAATTTAAACCTCTAGCCTGCTTTATCGTGGTTATATTAGCCTAATGATGAAGGCAAAGAAACAAGCGTGTTAGCTGCTTTGTGTTTCTGATATCTCCGGGAATTAGCTCTCAACTGAAGTACATAGACAGCAATCTTTTTCGCACGTCAGTGTATGCATTTTTCGATGGAGGACTGGAGGCTGCTGTGTGCTCTAAATGACAGTAGCACCTCTTCGCGTACGTACCTATGCTCATTCTCGCAAGTGACTGGAGGAAGTGTCCACTGATCGTTAACACACATTACGCCTGTAAAAAGACGAGTCATGGTCAAAATAGACCTTCCACGATCATTGTGCGTTTGTACTGATTACAGTTTGTGTGGGTTCGGGCACCTCAGCAGAGGCAGGTTTGCAGATAGGCTTAGTGCGCTTCCGGAGACACAACATTTGCATCGCGGCTACGAACCGCTGCAATGGCATTTCATCTACCACCTCCGGACGCTTTCTGGTGTGATTCTAGTGTTAAGCCTATTGAAAGCGATTGTGCTCAGTGGAAAACTTCTTTTACAAATTACTTGGACTTACAAGCGTCTACAGCTACATACAATGAAACTTCTTCGTCACCTGATAGGCAGTGAAGGCCAACGATACATTGAAGCATTGAACTACAGAAGGAGGGCACGCTTACAAAGGCATTGGATGTATTGGATCAATCTTGGGGTGCCCAACCCATTGCTTTCGTTGAATAATACAAATTCTGCCGGTTGATACAAGAGGACTCAGAGCCACTGGAGCACTTCGCTTCCCGCTTGATCGGTGCCGTGAGAACCTGTGATTACGTCAGCATACCTAATTTTGAGGGTTATGCTGACATAACACTTATATTGCCGGCATCACTGATCATCACCTACCGGAAGCTCTACTTTCCGAAGACCATTCGAAGCTTTCCTGGGACAGAGCCATAGAGATTGTCAGGCTCGAAACAGTTACCTTCGAACAGTCGCGCTTGTTCAGCACGAGTGAAACAGTTGATATCATTAAACTTCAGAACAGCTTCCGCGCCATTTTAAAATGTGAATGTCTTGTGTTATCAATGGGGGAAGTTCTCATCACAAAGCGGACTGCCAAACATGTCAGGCCCGCACAGCAGATTGTAAAAATTGTGGCAAATGAAGCCATTCCGCCCGACGTTGTCGCTCTCGTCGGGTAGCCTTAGTTGACCAACAAAGGACTGATGATCCTTCTCCATCGATTGCGGAAAATATTTTGTCGGTCAAAAAGTTACGTTATCCAGAAAATCAACAATCACTTTTGATGGAGCCGAAGCTTCCTTCCCTGACATCTGTACGGTTACGCTCCATGGGGGCCACGGTGCTAGTTGCTATGGAAGTGGATTCGGCATCGTCCATAACAATTATCCCATCTAGCCTTTACGACAATTGTTTGCATGATATACCATTGCATCCAACATCGTACAAATTTGACTCATGCACAAATTCCTGTGTGCACATTCGCGGATATATAATGAGGAAACTTAGTCTACACTGGGTCACATCCGAAGTTGCTGTGTATGTGACTTGTTAAGAAAGTCCAGCCCTGCTGGGGTGAAATGCTATGGTTGGTTTTAAAATAACACCGTCCATCGATCGGATGCGCATTATGACATTCAATGTTTCGAGGCTTGAAGGCCTATACCACAAATGGTTCACTGAAACGGTTGGCCGGATTGTGTCCGCGCCCATCGCATATGCCTTAAACAGGATGCCAAACCACTTAGGTGACGGTCCCAGTGATCGTATTGGCAGAGACTGACTTCAAAGCCAACCGAGGCCACGATTCAGATTGCGTGTCGCAATCCAAGACACACGGCAGGTGCTCCAAACCCGAAAAGCAACTTCTAACCGCGTGTCAAACACTGCTCGCAGAACGCGATGGCCTAGTGATCATGGCAATAGCCGCCGACCACTATGCGCCGAATTCCACTCCCAGCTCGGCTTTATCTACCTAATGAGTCGAACAAAGACGAAACCGTCGATTCTGGAGTGAAGGGATGCGAGAGAGCCACACCAAGACCCCCCAGGACGCCAAAACGTTTTCCATATCATCACTGCGACCCATTCCACTTGACGATCCAGACAAGGAAGAGGAGGATGAAGTAAAAGTAATGATATCCGCTTTGCAGTCAACTGAGCTTCCGCCATAACTAAGGCAGAGTTGCAAGAAACCAACAGAAAAGGACAAAAAGTACAGGCTGTTGCCCGCTACATCTCCGAAGCCTGGCCTCACTAAATGCAGCTGTGGCGAACTACCTGCGTTTTATGTTGTACGCCATTAACTCGCGGTCAATGATAGTTGCCTGATGCGAGGACCGCGACTTGTTGCCCCACAGGAGCTAACAGCAAAAACCATCCATTGTGCACATGAGGGACATCCAGGCATCGTCCGAACGGAGCGCTGACTGCAGGAGCGGTTTTGGTAGCCGAATATGTCTACAATGGTGGACGCGTGTGTCCGGTCCTGTGAGGCGTGTCAGAAAGCCAATAAAAGCTCGAGGCCGTTTGATGCATTCGTTCAGCCTATCGTTTATCCAATGAAACCCTGGTCGAAAGTGGCGATTGACATCATGGGACCATTCCATTCCACACCACGGCAGCAGAGGAACTGTTTGGTAGCCACGTGCTACCACAGCAAATGGCCTGAAGTTCACCTCTGTGATGTGAACAAGTCGACAGCTGTACGGTGGCTGAAGCATCTGTGTTAAATTTGGGCTCCCCGAAGAAATTGTGACAGAGAACGGACCACAATTTACAAACTATCAGCTCCTACAACTCCGAGTTATGAAACACGTACGAACGGATCCGTAAACCAAACATCCAACAGCATGATTAAGCGCGCAAATTGCTCGCTAAAGAAAAGTGTACAGGCGGTACGTTTGTCTA